TATCCAAAAATCAATAGCATTCCTCTACACATATAACAAACATACTGAGAGAGAAATTAGAGAAAGTTACCCATAACAATAGCACCAAAAATGAAATATTTAGGAATTGATCTCACAAAGGAAATAAAAAATCTGTACAATGAAAATTACAACGCTCTGATAAAAAAATAGAAATTGAAGAAGATTTCAGAAAATGGAAAGATATTACTCGCTCTTGGTTAGGATAAGACAATATTGTGAAAATGGTTATGCTCCCAAAATTATTGTATAGCTTTAATGCAACCTCTATCAAAATACCATCAATGTGCCTCACAGAGATAGAGAAAATATTCTTAAAATTTATTTGGAACCAGAAAAGACCAAGAATAGCAAAGACAATCCTGGGAAACAAAGGCAAGACAGGAGGCATTACAACTTATACTACAAAGTTACTGAGATAAATTCAGCATGGTACTGGTTAAAAAACAGACCTGAGGATCAATGAATCAGACTAGAAGATGCAGATACAATACAAACACACTTATATATCTTATTTTTGAAAAAAAAGGCTTATGTTCACTGGAACAAAGATAGCCTTTTTAACAAATGATGCTGGAAAAACTGGCTCTCCACATACAGGATACTACAACTAGACCCAGCTCTATTGCCACGCATTAAAGTAAAGTCAGAATGGGTTAAAGATATAAATATTAAAACAGAAATGCTAAATCTACTGAATGAGAAAATAGGTGGAAATATTGAAGACATCAGGGTAGGCAAGCAGTTCACGAGCTAAAAGCAAACTACACGGGATATACTTACAGAATCAACAACTGGGATCTCCTCTTATTGAGAACTTTCTGCATGTCAAACAAAATCATCAACAAAATGAAAAGACAACACACAAATTGGGAAAAAAATTAACCAATAATCACTCAGACAAAGGCCTTCTGTCTAGAATATATGTAGAACTAAAAAAAAAATTAAGCCTCCAAAATTTAAAGGCTTTGGGGAAAAAGGAACACTTCTCCACTGCTGGTGGGAATGTAGACTGGTAAAACCACTATGCAAATCATTGTGGAGACTCCTCAAAAATCTACAAATGTAAATCCCATTCGATCCAGTTTATCCCCTTCTGGGTATTTCCCAAAAGAACTGAAAATACCATACCATAGTGACATATGTGCACCCATGTTTATAGCAGCATAATTTGTCAAAGTAAAATCCTGGAAATAACCAAAATATCCATCACCAGATTAATGGATAAAAAAGATATGGTACTTTTATACAATGGAGTATTACTCAGTTATAAAGAAAGATAAACTCAAAGCTTTTATGGGTAAGTGGATACAACTAGAGACTATACTCATAAGCAAAATAAACCAGACCCACATGTACAAATATCATCTGGTCTCCTTAGTGTAAGAACCTGAAAGAAGACAAAAACATGCTGAAAGGTATAACAGACATAGCAAAATAGAAAGAAACTGAATGTAAGGATTAAGCAAAGAAGATGAGAGAAAGGAGAAAAAAACAGGGAAAAAAAGGCAGGGGAAAAACATGTAAGTTTTTATATACAGGATGGCTAAAATGATTGTACTATTAATTTCCATCAATTTTTTGAAAATAGCAGTTAATGTGTAGAATTTTCACCTTAACTAACTCTGTATACTGATTTCTGTTCTCTAAGCAACTACATCAAGGACAGCAATGTGTTGTACAAAACCATGCTTGAACACCTGTCATCATGGTCTTCTAAATTTGTACTGTTTCTAATCTCTTATCAATTATTATTATACCCCCTTTAATATAAATTTTATTAAAAAGTTTATGAAAGGAAAAAAAATAAGGACAAGAAAAAGAAAATTAAGGTTTCTTGAAAGCAAGCAGTAATATCCCATTATCCAATCTTATATAACTATATCTGTTATTCTGAGCAACAGATTTGAACATACAAATAGATCATAGAACATCCATTGTTAATGTTATTCTTTTTTACGTTATCTGTAATATGTGTATTGCTGTATGTTATCCTGATTCCGTCTTTGTTTCTGCTATTTGTTTTTGCTGTCATTCTGGTCTTCTGAATATGAGCTGCTTGTCATGACATGCCAGTTGCTGCTGTGCTGTCTCTCAGGGAGATGACTGTTCAAAAAGAAGAGGGTGGTGAATGAAGTCAAGACACAGGAAAAGGAATGTTGTGGGACTGTCCTGCTTCAAGGTTGTATATGGTTAGATATTTGGACTTATGTGTAAACATAAGAATTATATAATTCTTTATGCCTATTTTTAAAATATATTCTAATTTTTAAATGTTTTTTCATCATATTCTGTAGGGACTTAAAGTTCAACATATGAATACTTGATGATAAATACCTGTTCCATGTTATGCCTAAGATGTTTGATATTCAGAGAGATAGTGAGGTTAAGCTTAACAGTCTAGGTTATATGGTAATAACAATAAGCTTGTCTTCTGGATGGTTAACAACCTAAGTTTGCAGACCAAAATTAGAGAAAAAGGAGGGCCACAAGGAAAGCCAACATTCTGGCCCTAGCCTTCCAAAGTCAATTAAGACTCAAGACATATGAGAACTTGTACTGTGACATCATGTAACTCGGTAATGTCCCAAATTTTCTGATCAAGGAGATTATGGGGCCAAAGAGGAAAGTGATCGATAATGTAGAGTGTACCTAAGGAGAGTCACATGGAGCGAAAACATTATCTCAGGCTTTCACAGAGAGCACATTGGCTAAGCAATGGCCATGACTCATCCATATGGCTGACACTGACAAAAGATTTACAATCTGAGGTACAGGATCTCAGCATAAATCCTGAGGGGATTTCACTGACCTATCAGACCCAAAAGCTACAACTTTTGTTGCATAGGTCTTGCTTTATCTTGGTCTTAACCATCTAGCAGAAAAGTATGAAAACAAAATATAAGAAGTAAAGCCATGCTGTTATGTTGAGCTATAGGGGACTCAGGTCAACAGTTTCTGACATTTCCAGTGAAGTGGAAGACCCAATACTATTATGGACTACTGGACACTTTTAGAATATTTTGCTGAGTTTACACACCTATACTAATCAAATAATGGAACTAAACAAAAAAAGGGTATACAGATGAATGTCCATTTTTTATCTGTATATTCAAAATGTCTAGAATAGATATATAGCTACATACTCTTAATGAATAGAGGGATTTGTTCTCATGGTGTTTGTAAATAGGATATCATGTCTGTATCTTGTACAGCAACTAACCACTAGGAAGGATGTATGCAATGTGTTAATTGTTGAAACTGTCCTACCAATTTGGTTTGAAACTGTCTCATTGCTATTTGTTTCTCAATAAAATTATGGGGAAAAATTAAACAAAATAAAGTTAAAGTTAGAAAGACATCTTGTTGTATACCTCTCTAGCACTATTTGCACTAATTCTTGTGTTCATTTCTCCTCTCCAAATCTGTCTCTGTCTAGCCTTAATCTTTCCCGCTTGCCCTCCCTCCTTTCCCCAAAGCCATCTTGAATGGAAACTTGACCCTATTTGTTAGCCATCTTTTCCCTTCCAGCCTCCTTTTACTATGCTTCCTCCTATCTGTGCCCTATAAGTCTTATTTACAAACATTATCTTTAAGTGCCTCACTTAGCTCCTTATTTTGTTCTGATGACTGTCAGATTTTATTTTTTTATTATTATTCTAATTTTATGTATTTGATACAGGGTCTCACTATGTAGCTCAGATTCACAGTGATCCTCCTCTTTTCAGCCTTTTCAGTGCTGGGATTGCAGGCTTATGCCACCACGCCCAGTCTTGGTAGCAGGATGGGGCCAGCACAGCATACCATATGGGAGATTGAACCCAGGTCCCTGTGCTTGCCTAGACAGGCACTTAGACCCCTGAGCTGTCTCCATGGCTCAGAACTTTCCCTTGAATTCTGGGCTTTTCTATCAAAATAAACACTGAAGATTAGATACACATTAAGTAAGATACACATCAATTGTCTCAAATTTGGTTGCCCCTCTGTGTCTTCCCAAAGAAACTTGTTTCTCTGTTCTTCCTCACCTGAACAAGTGAATGTGCCTTCCACCTCCTCCTCTACTTTGAAATGGAAACAGTCATACTCACATGCCTTCTGTCTTCTATTTTTCACCTCCTCCGTTCTGCTACTCAAATGTGTCTGTTTTTGTGCACCCTTCTCCACCTCCTCTGTTGTTCTAATATATGTCACCATCAGTTCTCACCTGACTTACAGCAGTGGCCTCTTAACTGGTCAACAATTTTCTTTCCTTACCTTCCCCACATCAGAACTCTTGCGAGCAAGTGAAATACATTTTGAAAATGAAAACCTTGTGCTGTTGCTCTTTGTCAACCCTCTAGTGCATTCCTGCCATTCTTAGAATGCATTCCAAAGCACGGACCTTTGAGAACACAGATAGTCTTAGCTCGCTTTTGGCGAACCTCCACTCCTACTGCAGCCTCCCATGCACAAGACTCAGCCCTGGCCCCGCCTGTGTCCAGCCTCCTGTCCCCTTGCAGACACTGTCACCCCTTCCCTCCATCTTCTCATGAGAACCACCTCACCTCAAATATAATTTTTCAAAGACAAGCCTTTCCTGACTACTCTATCTACATTTATGAAATATCTCCTCAGTCAATCTCTAAGTGCATAGTTTTATTATCTTACTAGTACCTTTAACTGTGTGACATTGTTTAAGGTGTGTGTAGTGATTTATTGGAGCTGTCCTCATTGGCACATGTGTTCCCTCTGGACAAAAGCTCTTTGTGTCTCATCCCTCACTTTTACTTGCCTACAAGGAGAGCACCAGGAACATTGCACTTTGTCTTCCTTTATTTTTGCATAACCATAATAAAGAGCCTGAGGCCAAGTACTGTATAAAGAAAAAAAGTTATTTAATTCAGGGATGCAGAAGAGGTTTCAGAGTTGTTTATGAACAACCTATGGTACTAATCCAGTCTAATCCAGTGGAAGAGCCTGTGCTCCCTCGAGTTGGCATTAATGCATTTAGGAGGGTGATACTCCTATAGCCTAAACCACCAAATGTTCCCCACCCCCTAATATCTTGCACTGGGATCCACCTCCCCCAGCACAGGCCCTGTGGAGAACAAACCACATTCAAGCCGTTACAATTCCCTCAGTATGTACCTGTCCAGCCCTTGTGGCTTTGGAAGGCCATTCTGAGCTTCCCCCTTAGGGTCACCAGTTAGGGCCTTTTATGTGTCCAAACCCTTTCCCTGCAATGGCCTATGGTTATGGCCCATGAATTTTCGATTTCCAGCAACCTGACATTTTTCATTGGTGTAGAAGAAGCTAGTATCTATGAGACTGGTGTGGAACTCAAGCTTCCACTGCCTGTGCCTTCCACATGACTGCACAGCTGTGAGTTTTACACACCACTGAGGCTGTTCTGGTACCTGAAGACATTTCTTCCATCACAAAAGGCCTAAAGGGTGCCCAGGGTCTCTGATCTCTTCCCTCCTAATCCCTATTGGGCTTGAACTTTTCCGCTCTATTTTCAGCAAATTCAAGCCAAGGCAGGATGGCAGACACCAGACTTCCAGGCCGATGAAGGTAGGCTTGGATATACTCAACCATAATGTCACCAGAAAACAGATGTGTGAGGAATTCAGTTGTTCCTCTTGGTCCTGGTATCAGTCTGTCTAAGCTGCCTTATGACCTAGTCTGTACAATGGAGAAATGTATCTTAATTTTTTCCATGATAAAAATATCAAGACTAGCCTATCTTGACATTTTTTTTTCATTTTTTTTAATTTTATTTATTTATTTATTTGAGAGAGAGAGAGAGAGACAGAGAGAGAGAGAGAGAGACCAGCTCAGCCCATCAGGGGGCGGGCTGGCTGGCATGTGGTGCTGGGGGATTGAACTGCGGTCCCTGATGCTTTTGCTAAGCT